TGACGATCATGAAGAGATGCTCCGCTCCGCCAATGCAGCGCTGGCAAGGTCCAAATCGGATATCCATGCCCAACATGTCAAGGTGGTGGCCCTTTTGAAACTTGACCGTTACGAGGACTGCCTGCGTGTGTTTGAAGAAAGCGGAGATGCGTTGAAGAAGAAGGCTGCCTTGGAATACGCATATGCCCTCTACAAGCACGGTCAGCCCGATGAGGCGATCAATGTTGTCTCCCGTCTGACTGGTGGAAGAGGCGCCGACCATCTGGAGGCTCAAGCTGTATGTCTTTTTTCTTCTCCCCCGAGAACAGCGCATGAGACGCCGGACGCGGCTTACAATGAATTTCCCTATGTCTAGAGCTATCGCGCCGAGAAGTTTCGCCGGACAGCTGAGCTTTATGAGGAATTGGCCAAGGACAAGGCATCGTTGGGTAATGAAGAGAACGACCTCCGGATCAATTCGTGGGCCGCGGATGCGCAATTGCAGTGGAAAGGATACCCCGAGTTCGTACGACATGCTCGGCCAACAAGAGACGATCTGGAAGCGTTTGAGACTGTATATAATGCGGCATGTCTGAGCATCGCCAAGGGGGATTTTGCGCAGGGTGAAATGCTGCTGAAACGGGCGAAAGGTTTGGGACCGATGGCACGCCGGTCCGATTGACGAGCAGGCACTAACAATCTTGCAGAACTCTGTCGAACCTCGGAAGACCTCACCCCGGAGGACAGGGCTGCTGAGCTGCTCCCCATTTCGGTGCAGCAGCTGTATGTTCTACTCCGCCAAGGCAAGTCTGAGGAGGCTGAGTCGCTGCTCAAGGAGATTTCAGTAGATGAGTACGTGAACCCAATTGGCTCATTGCACCGCAATTCAAAACTTACCTCGATATAGTATCCCCGAGCTTTCCACAAAGAAGATTGCCCAACACAACGTCACCCTCGTTCAAGACACCGCCGCCAATCCCTTTGCTCTTTACAAAGCCTTGCATCAGACACCCGACTCCACCGACAACGATAAGCTCTTTGACTATCAGAGTAATGTGATGATGGGCAATTCTCACGCAGCGGATCTTCTAGTGCAGAAGTACGACGGCATCATCCGCTCCGCATCAAAAGTACTGTCCAAAGCAGCCTGTCCCTCGCTCGACGCTAGGACCAACCTGCTCTCGGTCTACAGCGCAGCCGCACACGCACAAGGCCAAACCGGGCACAAGGCCTTGAAAGCCATCCTCCCAGTCTTGGAGAGACGGCCCAAGGATATTGGTCTGGTCCTGACTGCCGTTCAGCTCTACGTCAATGCAGGCAATACTACTTCCGCCATCAACACGCTGGAGAAACTGCTCCAGAACCTTGATGAGTCCATCGCCGAGCAGGACAAGGATATTCGCTTCAGCCCCGGCCTCCTTACGGTGCTGGTCTCCCTGTACAAGCTTGAAGGCCGGATGGTTCAAATCCGGTCAGAGTTAGCCAAGGCAGCGGGCCACTGGCGAAACCGCGCGGAAGCCCCCGTACCCCTCCTCCGCGCCGCAGCGGCGTCGTTACTACACTCCTCCGACCACGCAGACCTAACCCTATCAGGAGAACTGTTCAAGGGCCTGTATCAAAACAACAACGGCGACCGTTTCGCAGTGGCCGGCTACGTCGCCTCGCAGGCCACCCTTGACTACGCCAAGGTCGAGTCGCAGCTCGAAAGCCTCCCGCCCGTCGAGGATCTGATCGCAGACATTGATATTGCCACCCTGGAGCAAGCGGGCATCTCTCCTTCTTCGGCGACAGCCGCCGCCGCGGCCGCTGCAATTGCCGGCGCGAGGAAGAGGACTGCAGCGGAGAACCAGACCCGCGCGACGAAACGGGTCAGGAAGTCGCGTCTTCCTAAGGATTACGATCCTAGCAAGACTCCGGATCCGGAGCGGTGGTTACCGCTCCGCGACCGGTCTACGTATCGGCCCAAGGGGCGGAAGGGCAAGCAGCGCGCTGCTGAGAGGATGCAGGGTGGTGTTGTCAATGAGAAGGCGGAGGAGTCGCCGGCTACGACACAGCCAAAAGCCCAAGGTGGAGGCGCCAGTTCGAAGAAGAAGAAGAAGGGAAAGCGGTAGGCGCATGTTGCATTGAGCGTTTATGAGAGATGCCCTGCATGGGAGCGATCCAGACTATGGTGCATTGTGGCTTGAGAGAAGCATGTATAGATGACCTTCACCTTTCCTAAGCGATCTTCAACCTGCTGTATTGATACTCAAGGGGAAACCGAAACATATTCAAGAATTGAAAACAGAATATCCCAGCCCAGCCAGTCCGAGATTATAAACGGCTCTGGCATGAAAATAAGTCAGCTGAAGTGACCTCGGCAAACTCACTTATCCAAAATACAAGTCGATGAATTCCAGCTTTCAAGTCCCCACCACCCAAAAAGCTTCTAGCCAAGAGGGGTGCGAATGGTCCCGCACTGCCGGTCATACTGCTCGAACATCATCCGGAACAACTTTAAATCCTGGAGGCCATCTACAGCCGTCGTCTTGGCCGGCTTCCCATCCACGAGGAACGCATACAGCGTCCTCAATTCTTCCCGATACCCATCCTCCCAGGTACTCACACTCTCCGTCTTCCTGAGCTCGCCTTGACCATCCATCTCCTCCACCACCACCCACAACAGCTGGCCCCGCGCATACGGAAGCTCGTAGTAGATGCTCACGGTCTTCGTACGGCCGTAGATGGCCAGGTGCGCATCACACCGCGGCACGGAGTCAGTACCCGTCTCATACACCAGGGTAAACGGGTGTCCGCCCCTCGCCGCAGTATCCGTGTAGTGGAAAATCGCCGAGTAGAACGGATCGTTCACCGAGATCGTCGAGATCGTATCCGGCACGCCGAGCGTATCCCGCATTAGACCCAGATCATGACACCCCAATGATGCGAGGAACTGGCACAGCGCGACGCGGTCCTGGCTTAGCTCTTGTCCGCTGAAAACTTCCTCCAGAAGTCTCTGCAGCAGATGCGCGTCGTCTGTTCCCGCTCCGTTGCTACTGCTGCTGCTGCTGCACGTCTTGGTTACCGTCCGTTTCTGGGACGTCGTGGCTGAATGCGCTGTGTGCGGGCCTGCGATGTTCCGACACCGAGCGTAGTAGATGCGGTCAAGGCTTGCGACTTCTTTCTTGAACACGTCCTCGAAGCAGGGTACGTAGCGGCGCGCGCAGGCGACGAAGACCTTCGCTCCTTTGGGGGCGTGCTTCTCGGCCGCGATGATGCGTTTGGTGCTTCTGATGCTGAGGCTTACAGGGGTCTCGACCATGACATGTTTGCCAGCTTCGAGGGCGGCGATGGTGTAGGTCTCGTGGTACTCGTTAGGGAGGAAGTTGAGGATGAGGTCGACGGTGGGATCGTGGATAACATCGTCGATTGAAGTAGTAGTTCGGGGGGGATCCGTATTGTTGTAGCCGCTGGCTGTGCTGTGAAGGACTGCGACTTTGAAGTTTTCATCCAGCGCTTGTAGGGCAGGGAAGTAGATGGCCTGAACTGCTTCACTGTCTGCGCCGAGGATCCCTACTCGGAGGACTGTTTGGGTCATTTCTGCAAGCTGTCAGGGCCGGATTGTCCGCTGTATTAGAGCGCGGTCGAGATCACCTTCGAGTGTACTTGAATGCTTCTTATGTAGTTAGGAAGCTATCCTGACAGGAGCTGTCCATTGGAAGGAAACGACTCGAGATCATATCTATGGGAGAGAAGGGACACCGTTCCACAAATATGTCTGGAGCAAGGGATCCGTTTTATTGAAAATCTTAGACGGAAGGGTCAAAAGATTACCTACATAGGAGATGATGAAAGGGAGTCAGTCCTGCATTCTCCCTTCCTTAAACCTCCCTTGTCAATTGACCGGATCTCGTTATCGGGTGACATCAGCGATACCAAGTAACTAAGAAGTGGCTTGGCCAGTGGAGGCTTTTTGGCGAGCACATGTGCTGCATAGTCCTCATCACATGAGTGTAACACTTCAACAGAATGCTGCTAGATGAGTATATGCCTATCTCAGTTCCTGTATGGTGCTTTTGCTGTACAGTAAGCTGGTATGTGGGTACCGACTTGTATAGGTATACTCCGTCCTCCGTAGATGCTTTGTAGTTGAAGACTCCGCCTGCATGTATTTGATGAGTAAGCAGCGCATAACTCTCTCAATCATCAAAATTATGAAGCTTGTGGATGAGCACATCAAAGTATCTTCATATGTGAAATCTACTATGCATTTTATTCACAGTCAACTCTTTATAACCCAAGAAAATATCTCCAAATCAACTAAAGCAATGTATGAATGCGCACAAGATAATAAAAGTCTCAGCGGCATTAAGTGATGTCAGCCCTGTTAGTACGGAGTACAGCAGGAGGGAAATGAACAAGCAGCTTGGAGGCAAGGTTTGTACAGCCCAACACAGCCTTGAGTCTCCATGGTTCAATGGTTTGTTTGGGTTTCGGAATCTGGAGAAGACCCATGGATGATTGAAGGAGGAACTGATCATTGGGAAACATTGGGATGTACTTGATGCGACGCTTTTCATTATTCTATAGAACTAAGGTATAACTACCTCTATCTGCTGTTTTGTCGCATTTTGCTAGTTGAACTAGAGAGGTACATCCATCTCCTATTCCCATTGCAACCTGTTCTCTTGTTACATATAGCTTACATGGAGTAGCTTACAGGTACTCCTACTCCATCATTTACCTAGACTTAGCCATCCTCAAAATGCGATTGTTTCCCTCCTTAACCAAGGTCCAGTTATATTGTGCTACTTTATAGAGAGGTACTAAGAATACTAATACCCATAAGCGGGTCTCATGACTGGCTAGTTCCAGCTAAAAGTCGTCATCAGTTACACTGCTCCAGCTGAGCTTCCATCTTTTGGTTTCATTTGGACTTCACAGTCATTCCATCTTTGACATTCTCCCTTCTAACCCCTTATCTATTCTTCCCATTGAACTCTGACATTCCTATCCCAGTTTCAAGAGTGCATATTGCAGCAATGGGGGTAAGTAGGCCATCTCTTAAAAAAAAAAAAAGCCCCGCGTCTTTTGCCCCGCTTCCCCTAATGGAGTCTTTTTCTCTGAAATGGAGGGTGATGAGAGGTGGTCAGTCGATCAAAACAAGGACAGATATCAGAAGGACAAGACTGTGTATGATGACGATGATGATGTTTATGACGACGATATAATCGACCCTCTACTGACTGGAGACTGACGATTTACTTGCTTCTGTATAACAGTTTGCCTCCAAAATTGCCAACGCTCAAAACAACCCGCAGAAGATGAGCAACCCAGGTGCTTATTCGGGAGCTCCGCCGGCTGGCTACACGGGAGGTCCTCCTGCAGCGCTGCAGCCTGGTGCTGGTGGATATGTGAGTCCACTTGTTTTTTTCGCCTCTCGTCTTACGATTTGTAGTACCATTAATCATGTATCGGCGTCATCATCGTTGACTACGGTCGCAAACAATACCTTATTGAGTTTGCTAACCGTTGATATTCGTTTATCCTACAGCAACAGCAACAACAGTATCAAGCTTACCCAGGTACTCCTTCGCCATCTACTCCTAGCAATTCGGTAAGCGCAATTTCTTGCTTACTGCTTGACATCTTCACTTTCCCCCCTCCTTTTCCTCGATTTCTTTGTCTTTCCTCAAACGATTGCCCGTTGCGCCCAACATTCTTTCCCATCGAATGAAAGGTGTCCTTCCGGTACATTGTCACTCCACATCGCTCGTCTGCCCCTCCTTCCATCAGAAATTGTCGAACCCCCATTCCTGGGACTACAAACTTCGACCTTCCCTGCCACTGCTCCGGTGATTGAAGACGCTGTCCATCATCATGTCTCGACCATATTATAACCAACAAGGATATCCATCTCAGCTTCGACCTGGTTCGGCTCAGCCTCAGTCTCCCTATCCAACATCTACTCCGCCGCCGCAACAGCAGCAATATCAGTCCTATAACCCACCGTCGGTGCCTCCAAACAAGCCAGCTCCTTCGCCTTCCCCAGGATATCCGCAAGCACCGTACAGCCCCCATCCATCGTCACAGGGCTACCCTCAGGCTTCACCCTACAGTAATGAACCTTCATATGGCCAAGGGCAGCCCCAGCAGGGTTATGGACGAACTGCCCCACCTCCACCACAGGTTCAGCCCTACGGAGCGCCATATTCTCCACAGCAACAGGCATATGTACATACTGCGTTCCCAAATCAATTTCGTTGCCGTGTTTTGCATATTCTGCGTCACCGTGCGACTTTGTTGTTCCCATCATGATTGCTGACTGTGATCGCTCGTTTAGGGACAGCCTTATCCACCTCAAGGCGCGCCGTATCAAGGCGGACCTGCAGGCCCTGGCGGGCCCCCAGGACCAGCTGGATATGGCCACCCTGGCGGCGCTCCTCCCGCTCGTGCCACTGATCAGCAGATCGGCGCCTACAGACAGCTTCTGATTGGAACCATTCAAGAGAAGAATTTGCAAAGCTTTTACCCTCCTGACAGACTGGATAGACTTGTCCAGCAGTTGGCCAATGACGCTCCCGGAAAAGTTGACAGACTTGTCCATGAGTGGTCAGTGCCGCAGGAAGTGGCAATGGATGTCATGAAACTTGCTCTTTTTGATGTTATCCTTTATGTCGATGACAGTGGTTCCATCGAGTTCGAAGAGAAGGGGATGAGAAAAGAGCAGCTTAGACAGATTCTCGGTATCGTCGCAACCGGTGCATCGACGTTCGACCAAGATGGCATCTCTGTGCGCTTCATGAACTCCAATGAAATAGGCGATGGTATCCGCAGCGTCGATGATGTCAACATGCTCGTCTCACGTGTTCGGTTCGCCGGCTTGACACCATTGGGTACAGGCTTGAGGAACAAGGTACTTGAGCCATTGGTTGTTGGTCCTGCTCGGGCCGGTCGTCTGCAGAAGCCTGTCCTGATCATCACGATCACAGATGGTCAGCCTGCCGGTGAGCCACACGACGCTGTCGCTAGCGCCATTCGATATGCCAGCGAAGAGGTATCCAGAACCCAATACGGAAGAGGTGCAGTCTCGTTCCAGTTTTCGCAGGTTGGAACCGACAACAAGGCCCGCGAGTTCCTTGCCAGTCTGGATGAGGACCCCCACATCGGCGGCTTGATCGACTGTACATCCAGTAAGTTGTCTCGCATATGCAACGCGTCCTGACCACAGAACACTAGGCTAACAGAATGGCCAGACTTCGAAGTCGAACAAGATGAGATGTCTCGCGCCAACCCTCCAATTCATCTGACTCGCGAGCTCTGGGTAGGTCCTTCCAGGAAGCACTTATTGTAACTCGCTGACCATTCTCAGTGCGCCAAATTGATGCTCGGTGCCGTTGATTCCTCTTACGATACCAAGGACGAAAAGGCCGCTGGTGGCCCCGGCGGTCCCGGCGGTCCTCCCCCTTCTGGACCTCCTCCTGGCCAGTACGGTGGTTACAACCAAGGACCAAACTATGGCCAGCAGCCCGGCTACTATAACCAACCTCCGCCATCCGGATACAATCAGCCAGGACCCTATGGCCAGGGACAAGGCTACAACCGTCCAAGCCAGGGTGGACCCCCACAGCCTGGCTATGGACAGCCGTACGGTGGATATGGAGCCCCTCCTCCATCTGACCCATACGGACGTCCTCCCTCTGGTCCTCCACCAGGTGGCTATCCTCCGCAGCAGAGACCCTATGGACAGCCTCCCCCACCCCCAAGGTACTGATCGCGAAATGGCGGATGGCACGTGACTTCTGTATGTTTCAGAGCCGGTTCGTAGTCGTTATCCTCTTTCTTTGCTATGGCAGCGTATGTAGAGCCTTGCCACGATATTGCTTATTGATACGGTCGTGAAGAAATTGAGGGGGGAGGTTCCTCTGGGAACACGTGGTGGGGTAGGATAGATACGTTGACGATGTTGTTCCATAGCTTCACCACGAGACTTGTATTCTTTCAACCATGATGATTTGACTGTGCGAGTTGTTTGACATCTTGGTGAAGGACTCTGCTTCCTCGATCTGCACTATCAGACAAGATATCTGAGATGACTGGCGAATAGAACCTCATTCAGTGCAAGGGGATCGTCGCAGCTAAGAGCCGTTGTTGACCAACCGTTACGCCCATGACGTAGGGCCACTACATGATAGGTCCACTGTGTAAGTCGACCAGTCGAATGAAGAGCGAATTCGTGGGCGTGAGGAGGAAGCCGAGCATCTACGGCAAACAGGGTGGCGGCCATGCAAACCATGAGAAGAATCTGAGCGAGATGGCTTTGGCTTCATATGGACTGGTCCAAGCCAAGAAAAGAAGCTTTGCCACCACGCTACCAAGTACGACACCCACAAGGACCACAAGGCTGCGTAAACTTCTATCAAGCATGTCCATGGTCGATAGTCTTTACATGGAACTGATGGAAGGGAGGATCATTCAGTGTCCACTGAGATTGATTCCTCAGATGTACGTACCTAATGTACCTATGTTTTCGCCGGAGGATTTCTGTGGTAGGTTCAACGTGAGGCCCAGACTTTGGAGTATGGAGCGCTCCATCCCGCCACTTTCAGGGTTGTCATCCACAGCCAAGGGGGGCTGTGCACTACTGCATTTACAACTTGACTACTCCGTATGGTCTGGTCTCAACGTCTGTGAGATGCAAGCGAGTTTTTAGTCTACTTGATCATGGGGATTACCAGGTGAATTTTAATCTTTTTTTAAAAATAGTGATAATGCTTAGTATTTGTTAAAGGGTATCGGGGTATTAATGGATATGCTGTAGCCTGGTGGTAGATATGTCACTGATGTGGTATTATTCGAAGGGAGGAGTATCTAGGAGGTGGATAGGGTGGATAGGGGAGGCCAATATACTCTGCCAACCTAAACCTCTAGGTTAATCCTAATTATTCTTAGTCCATTTTGCCCTCGTTCGTTGCGTGGCCAGCCAAGTCTATCTAATATCGACTGTCCGTAAATGAGGTTGAGATGGCCCACGCCCTCCTTGGTTTTGGACTCTGGAGGTTTCTCCGCAAGCGCAAGGCAAGTCTAAGTCTGCAAGAGACAGGGAATTAAAACAAGTAAGTAGATATCTAATAGCTGGTCGCTCATCTCTCCTTGTCCCGTCTTCAATCATTTCTTGAATCAAACCCTCAATTTAGCATTCCGCGCTGGTTACATATCTCCAATTCTCACCTGCCAGCGGCGAACCGTCCAGTCGGCCATCTTTCCGGATTCGGTCTCCCCCGCCATTTTTCTTTGATCTCGCAACTTTTGTCGCTAGTCTTTTGCAACAAACGGCCTCCTGGGGCGCCGCCTGCGGAAGGGTTCATTTCTTATTCTCTTCTTTCTCTCTGATCTCTAGCTAGACTACTGGTTTAGGACTGCTTTGTTTGTTTATACTTTTTATCTTCTCTCTCTCTTGTACGGGTTTTGCAAGCTGGTTTCCTTTCTTCTCTTTCTTTCTCCAAATACCCATCGTGTCGGTTTACGGTCTGTCTTCATTGACCTGTTGCACTACCCACCACAGTCGTTTCTGTTTCGAGTAAGCAGTCTCTCACCTTGTCGGCAAATTTCCGGCGATCGTCGCAACAGCAGAGTCTCACGAAATCCGAAAGTTTCGTCCCCGGGTTGCAGCAAATGTGGTAATCGTGGTAGGACGTCGGGGTTAAAGCATGAGCCAGCATCGTCGGTTATGATTATATCTTTACGACTATACCTTACCTATATTTCGCTCGATTCTGATACTCCAGTCGACGAATCAGAAAAAGTGGTAGATCGAGGGGCGGATCTGGAACAACAAAGTGAGAGATATCGTTAGTGAGCGCCATCTTGCAATGTCCGGACAGGATGCGTCAAGAGATGGGACTCGAATTACGGAAGACACAATTCGAGAGGAGGATCAGGCAGTGACCGAGCAGAGTCCAGCACAGGGCTCCAATCTCTCGACGAGTCACCCCCCGAATAACAGGCCTGCACGAGAGAGTGTCGCTCATCCTCGATCTTCCATGTCGCCGTCTCGAATGTCGTCGGATCTCGGCCGAAGATTATCACAGCAGCATCATGTTCGGTTTTCTACAGACCTCGAGCGACCTATTGTCGAGGAATCAAGCCACGCTCGACGTGGTGCTAGGGGCCTGACAATCGATACGAGTATCACGAACACTGCTGTTCCCCCGGTGCGTTCGCCTGTCACATCACCAGAGCGCGGGCCGACTTCACCGCTATCCCCCAATAGCGCTCTTCCTCCAACGTCTCCGCAGAGTCCAGATGCCGGTCGCTCACGATCCCGAAATCGCGGATATTCACTTCGGCGTACAATTTTCGCAAAGAACATCCAGACGCAATCTGATGTCACATCGCCGGGGGGTATTGAGTTGGGCCCAGCGGTTGGCTCGCAGCAGCAGCCGGAAACATCGACAGCGAATAGTCAGCCACAGACCACGGGAGACGAGAAACACTCGGTAGTCGTGCGTCCAACAATCACGTCGGAATCCACCACCAAGGATGACGGCTCAACGACGTACTACTCTGATCCCAAGGACGGCAGGCACCCTTCTATGACTGTTTCGTATGAGAGATGGTTGAAGCGGAAAGCTGCTTGTACAATGTTCATGGTGCGACTAGAGAATACGATTGAAACTGTGCGCAAGGCCATCCTTCGGATCAAGGAAATTCCTCCCACCAAAGACGGTCGTCATATTGATCTCGATGTGACTCGCACCGTGGACTTGATTGACGAAAGGACTGGGAAGCCATACATTGGAAACTGGATTCGATCCAGTCGTTACAGCTTCTGGAGTTTCTTTCCCAGGCAATTGTTCGCTCAGTTCACCAAGTTGGCCAACTTCTATTTCCTGGTCGTGGCTATCCTGCAGATGATCCCGGGTTTGAGTACCACAGGTACTTTTACTACACTGATCCCTCTTTTGATTTTCGTTGGTATCTCAATGGGCAAAGAAGGGTTTGACGATTGGCGTCGTTATCGCTTGGACAAGGAGGAGAATAATCGTCTTGCATGTGTTCTTCGTCCTGGTGCCAATCTTGCCACTGCTGCGGCCGCTGGCGCCAGCGACACCGTTTCTGTTTCAAGCGATGCGCAGGATTGGGCCCTCATCAAGTGGGAGGACATCAAAGTTGGAGATGTAATCAGGCTAGAGCGTGACCAGCCTGTCCCAGCTGACATTGTCTTGCTTCATGCAAATGGGCCCAACGGTGTAGCTTACATTGAGACCATGGCCCTAGACGGCGAGACCAACCTCAAGAGCAAGCAGCCTTGCCAGCCAGTGGCTAAAGTGTGCGGGACGGTTGAAGGCATCTGCAGCAATTCCATCCACCTTGCCGTGGAGGACCCGAACATTGATCTTTACAAGTTCGATGGCAATGTGATTGTGAACGCGGAGAAGTTGCCCTTGACGAATACTGAAGTTGTTTACCGCGGCAGTATTCTTCGAAATACTGAACGTGCCCTGGGTATGGTCATCTACACTGGCGAAGAGTGCAAGATTCGAATGAACGCCAACAAGAACCCTCGGATCAAGTCGCCTTCCCTCCAGGTGAAGGTCAACCGGGTCGTTATGCTGATTGTTTGCCTCGTCGTCATCCTGGCCGTTGCTTGTACCGTTGCGTACAAATATTGGTCGGAGGATGTCGAGCGCCACGCTTGGTATCTCGAAAAGGCCAACGTTGACTACGGCCCCATTTTTACTTCGTTCCTGATCATGTTCAATACCATGATTCCGATCTCGCTTTATGTGAGTATGGAGATCGTCAAAGTTGCTCAGATGCTCTTGTTGAACGATGTCGACATGTATGATGAGGAGACCGACACACCCCTCGAAGCGCGGACATCCACGATCAACGAGGAGCTGGGACAGGTCAGCTATATCTTTTCTGACAAGACCGGTACATTAACGAACAACTCGATGCGCTTCCGTAAGATGAGCGTGGCGGGGACCGCCTGGTTCCATGACTTCGATCTTCTTGAAGAAGCTGCCCGAGAAGGTGATCGAGAGAAGCTGATCCACAAGAAACGGAGTGTCAAAGGCAAGAAGGCTTTGGCTCGTAAGTCCAACGCTTCAGATACTCGAGAAGTGTTGAGACCCTCGAATGCGTCGAACGCTCTGGATGTGTCTGGTTTGACTTCGATGGCGCCTCGAAAGATCACAAAATCCATGGCCAATCGCCGTACCACCGATATGTTGAGATATATCCAACACAAGCCCTACACCGTGTTCGCGCGGAAAGCCAAGCTCTTCCTGCTGGCAATAGCGTTGTGCCACACATGCATACCGGAGGAGGACGAGTCTGGAAACGTGTCTTTCCAGGCAGCATCCCCTGATGAACTAGCTCTGGTGATGGCTGCGCAGGAACTTGGCTATCTTGTCATAGATCGACAACCGAACACTCTGACTATTCGGACTTATCCCAACGGTCCAGAAGAAGAGCCTCAAGATGAGATCTATGAAATTTTGAATGTCATCGAGTTCACAAGCGCTCGGAAACGCATGTCCGTCGTGGTTCGAATGCCCGACCAACGCATCTGCCTCTTCTGCAAGGGTGCCGATAGCACGTTGATGCGGTTGCTCAAACGTTCGTCTCTTGCTCATGAGAAAGCAGTCGAGATCGAGCGGCGTGCCAGCAAACGCAAAGCGGCCGAGGCAATTCAGGTAATGAGACGAAATAGCGAGCACCAAAGCCGGAAGGATAGTGGGGTTAGATCCAGCTTCAGCCGGCCAA